TCTATTAACAGGCATAAACAGCTAATGATCATATTTTGGGTTGGTTGCTAATGATCATAAATAAATAAGTAAATAAATAAGAGGGGGACAATACCTAAAACAAGAATCATAACTTCAGAAATACAATTGTGGGAATGAGCTTGGGCATCTTGTTTTACGGACATCAACAACAACATCAACAACAACAATCCCAGTTTGATCCCATAAATGGGGTCTGGGGAGGATAGTGTGTACGCAGACCTTACCCCTACCTCATAGAGATAGAGAGGCTGTTTCCGATTGACAAACCCAGTTCTACGGACATCACATTTGTTAAGATTATTTATGCATTTTGTATGCCGAATTGGGAGGCGGGAATCACTTCTAAGTCTAACAAGCTTAAGCTTTCGTGTCTTGATTGTCACTGTTGACTTTAGCCCTCAAAGGAAAAAGAAAAAAAGGAGAAAGTGGAAAAGGAAAAGTGAGAAGAAGATAGTACATTCTGAACAAAGAAAATACCCACACATCAATAAAAATAGAAAAAGGAAGAAAAGCTTCTTTCCTATTTCTCTCACTCTATTTTGTTACCTCAATTCGTTCTGATTTTCCCTGAGCAAGAGAAATATCTTCGTCCTTTACTCAAAATTTAGTCAGGAAACCTTTTGCGTATATTAATGTTTTCATCTCTCAGTCTAAAAGAAAGATAATTAAACTTCTTTCCTGTTTGTCTAACTGTATTTTATTGCTTCAATCGGTTCTAAGTTGCAGTTCAGCCAGAGAAATATCTTTGACATGTACTCAGAACTTTTGCCAGGAAACTAGTGTTGATCTTTCCCAAAGAATGCTTCTCTCAGTATCAGTCAGTGTACTGGTACTGACATGGAAGTTGATGTTAACATACGAAGCAAGAACAAGACTTGAAATTGACATCACACAAATAAAGTACACAAAAATGATCCACTGGATTCCGTGCAGTCCATTAAATAATCGAGTAGCATAAAACATTAAAGGAGTTCTGAAATTTCGAAGATGGTTTAATTTATTTGCTGCCTGGAATTTATCTTCGTTTAGTGCAGTCTTAATTAGTGCATTTAATATCCTATTCACCAGCTTTGGTCATTTTACTTTCAGAAGGCCAATAATGCATCCTAGTCTGTTTAGGAATCGAGTTGTAGTTTAGGATAAGTGGAGTTTGTTTAGTAGCTCTCTAGCTACTTCAACATTAGTAAACTCCCAAAACACAAGTACTCTTTCCTCTGAGATCTGTTGTGTCAAGTGTGTACAAAACTCACTAGCAGTAAAAATCTTCAGCCATCAAAATACAACAAAATTGCCACTTCTTGGAATGCCTTTCGCACGTTTAGAGCAAATAAACATGAAAACAGTATCTTGCCGATTGTCTCAGCATATAGGAAACTCGTATCAGACTAACCATTTGAGCTTGGGGTCAGTAAAAACTGGACCCTTTTTCATGCAACCAAGGTATGTCTGTGAGTGAGACCGCTCTTTGGCCAAGAGCAGTGAAAGACGATCTGTTCATAGAATATCAAAACAACATGAATTCATAAAATTTATGTTAATCATTTCATTCAGACCTCAAGTAAAGAACAAGAAGAATAACAAAGCTTCATAATTCTAGCTACCTGGCCGTAAATATATGTCATCATCAGCTTTGACATAGAACTTGGAATCGTAAAGTGCATAGGCTGCTTTGAAGAAAGCTAAGCTGTAAAAGCATCTTGCGTAAGTGTAAATCACGAACGGAAGGAAGTAATGAAAAATAAATGTTAGAACTAACGTTTTGTATGGGAGCTTACTGTACTCTTCTTCAATATCTAATAGTATAAAATCATCATATTCTGCTACCTCTCTCCTGAGCTCTGACATCTTCGATTTATCACTTGTTCTACCAATAACAAATCTAAAAGCCAAGCCAGTGGCTTCTTCTAACCTGAATCAATCAGCCGATCCAGCAAAATACAGTCAAGCAGATTTCACAAATACCGGGTAGTAACAAATACATATACAAGTAGTTGACAGGTCAATGCATATACACATAGGCAAGGTTATTGGAAAAGGCTAGAGAGAATGTTTCAAAATTCAAGAGGAAGAGCTGAATAGGAGAATTTACTATAGAAACCTTTGAAAATTTATCAGGATTTCAATCAACCATGCTTCAAGTGTCTGTTGAAGTTCTTAGTGAAAAAATAAAACAACTTTCAAAGAAGTGCCTGATGAATTTATTCTCTCAAGTTCTTCCGGCCAGTAAGTTCTTTCCTTCTCTTTTGTTCTTGAACTTAGTGACTCTACTATAAGTGTTATGTCTCATTCCATTCCATTTTCGCATGCTTTATTTAAGCTAATAATCTACAACATATTGGTAAACTCCACATAAGTTCTTGTCGGCCAAGTTTCAGGACACAGTCAGATAAAATAGCCAGCACAAGACAAATTATTCGAAGAACATGAAATTGTTTGAAATAGATTTTCATTTTGGTTAGAAAGAAAACAAACTGTGTAGTAAGTAGTACCACCATATCTTGCTGATATTCAAAAATTATTTAAGGTATACTGTAAGTATACCTACTGCATCCTTGTCCCTAAAGCTACATAAACGCAAAGAACCTGCCTTTTTTTTTTTCAAAAAGATAATGTAGCAACCCCAAGGCTTTCAAAAGTAAATAGATAAACTGAAATTGGAGTAGAGAGAGTTAAAAATCTATTAATCAAACAACTATGCCTCAATCCAAACTAGTTGGGGTCGGTTAATGAATCAATTCTGCTCCATTCGCATCCAAAGAGCAAGTTAACATGTGAAACCAAAATCTTACACCATAACCTACCAACAAAAAACCCAGTGTAATCCTATAAGGGCGGTTTAGGGAGGTTAGTGTGTACACAGACCTTACCCCTACCTTATAAAGGTAGAGAGGCTGTTTCCAGGTACACCTTCGGCTCAAGGAAAAGTGAAAACAAAGCAACAAACAATAGTAATAACCTACCGAGATATTAAAATCTTTACACTATCAACCTACAGAGCAAGTTAAAAATTAGAGCAAGTTAAAATGTTAAAATCTTTACACCATTAACCCATACAACTTAGTCCATTAAAAAATATTTACATTTAGATATAGAAAAAAGGAAATTACTTTTTAAGCCCTCGGTGATCAGAGGGAAACCAAGTCTGCCTTAACGACCGCCGGCGAGCAACCGATCCAAACCCGGTCTGAATTCCAACAAAGCCCATAACTTTTTGCCTCTTATATTCTCCATCAGAAAGCCCATTTCCTTTACTCAAAGTTCCATCCCAAAGAACAGAAACAGATCTGGGTTTAGCATATTTACAGTTGTATCCTAAACCCCGTCTCAAAATTACAATAAACCCAGAAAAAAAGCCAGTAAAAATGAGAAGAAAACATAGGATTAAGATTGTTGATCTGCGGGAGTTGGGGAAGTAGTACGAGGAGGATGTTCGGGCAGTGAAATTTTTTGGATATGAAGGCATTTTGAGGTAAAGTATTTTTTTTGAGAAATGAAATTTAGAAGTTAATTTATAAATAAAATGGTTATCTGATATTGGGGTTTAAACACTGTAGTGAAGATTCAAAATCTAGTAGCAGATGTTGCACATCAATATTGGCTTCAAATTGAAGTTAGCTCTAAGCTCTTCCATTTGACGTTGGTTTGTTGATCTGTCTCATTGGTGGGACCTGCTTTTCTTTTTCATCTTTTTTTTTTTCTTTTATATGGAGTAATTTTCTATTGTTTCTGTTCTTTTGTCATCCAATTAAGCATGGACGTAGTACCTAGAGTGCAAGTTTAGCATAGTGTCAGGGTAGTAGATATAGACATGAGGTTTGATTCACAAGTCATCCCCAAAAGAGGGAGTTTCAAGTAACTTGGGTTAGTTATTCAAGGGGACGGAGAGATTGACGAGGATGTCACACACCGTATAGCGGCGGGGTGGATGAAATGGAGGCTAACATTTGGCGTCCTGTGTGACAAGAATGTGCCACCAAAACTTAAAGGTCAGTTTTACAAGGCGGCGGTTAGACCGGCTATGCTGTATGGGGCAGAACGCTGGCTAGTCAAGAACTCTCATATCTAGAAGATGAACGTAGCCGAAATGAGGATGTTGCGATGGATGTGCGGGCACACTAGGTTGGATAAGATTAGGAATGAGGATATTCGGAAGAAAGCGGGTGTGGCCCCTATGGAAGATAAGATGCGTGAAGCGAGGCTTAGATAGTTCGGACATGTGAGAATGAGAAGTCTAGATGCCCCAATGAGGAGGTGTGAACGACTGGCGCTGGCAGGTAGGAGAAGAGGTAGAGAGCGGCCTAAGAAGTATTGGGGAGAGGTGATCAGGCAGGATATGACGCGACTTCAGCTTATCGAGGACATGACCCCTGACAGGAGGGTATGGAGGTCGAAAATTAGGGTAGAAGGGTAATATGTCGTCGTGTATTTTTCTGATCTGTTCCATGTTTATTAGGGCTAGCTGACTATTCCATTGTCTTCGATTCTTAGAATGCCAGTAGTAAAGTTGTTTTAGTAATATCTTCTGCTTCAGTTTTCTAGTACCCTGCCGTGTTACTGCTTGTGGCTATTTCTATTACTGCTGCTTTCTTTCATTTATTTTCTCTCTGATCCTTACATTGTTGATATCATTTTCCTGGCACTGTCGTTATTATTTACTTGTCCCTATTCTTCCGCTCGAGCTGAAGGTCTTTCGGAAACAACCTCTCCGTCCTCCAGGGTAAGGTCTGCGTATATATTACCCTCCCCACATTTCACTTGTGGGATCCCACTGAATTGTTGTTGTTTGCTTACGAAAATTGTTGCATGCGCCAATGCAATTAAGAACATTTGAAGTATGTTTTCCACGCCTTAATTTTCTTTAGTACAAGCGAATAATGCATAGAGATAGCTTTTTCTAACACAACTACAAGATTTAAAAGGAAAAAAAAATAAAAAAAATAAATAAAGACTAGAGCTTCTAAAACCATCTTGAAGAATGTTTATGCAACGGACCGACTTTATCCGACTGAGGCCCTCAACGCTGAAAATGGGCGAATCGGGCTATCGAACTGCAAGCCCGAAATTCATTTCAGGCCCAAACATGGATTCGTTTAGCCCTCTCTCCGAGCCCATTTGGGCCCGTTCCGATTCGCACTTCTTCGATCCTCCATTCTACTAGGGTCTCCAACGCCCGATTTTCAATTCCTTTCGCTTCTAGTTGTCTTCCTATGGCGTCCCCACCAAACCCTAACAACTCGCAGCCCGCCGCCATTGACCAGCGCCGCCTGCAATTTGTTCCGGTTGATTTACCTCTCTCTTCTCCTGTAAGTACTCCTCTTAATTCCCCGCTATTGCACATCAATTTTGTGAAAGACAAGTAAATGAATGAGCATTTTGAGTGTTAGTTTTCTGTATTATGAATGAGTCGATATTGAAAGGAAAAAAGTTGTTATTTTTATTCTTAGTGTAGCTTGAGTTCATTTGTTTCATCTGTGTTCTAGCTCTTAGCAGACAGATTTCGAATTAGGACACTAATGATTCATGAAAGCTAGCTTAAATTTGGATTTCAGCTGATTTTGGAGATTACAGTGATGGATTTGGGATCATATTTTGAGCCTATTCGGGCTTTGATTGCAAAAAAAAAAAAAAAAAAAAAAAAAAAATTTTAAGTCATGTACTTTAAAAATAAGCAACTTCGAATGGTAACTTTGTCGTAGGTGAAATGATAAATCGAAATGAAAAACTTTTTTTGTTTAATTTTTTTTATTTAACCATCCAGTGTCCGAAACATACACTGGTCCGACTTATCCGATTTGCGCCGGATAGGCCACTATGGGGGTAAAGTGCGCTCCACCAAGAAGTTCTCCATTCCCCAGGAAAAATGGAACGAATAATTTAATAAGTTTAGAAATGGAACGTTGAGAACTTTTGCAAAATTTTCTTCCAGGAAACTACGGTTTCGGGTCAAATAGGAAGAACTAGAAGATTCCACCTCTGGAAAGCGCCTACGCCTAATGGCTTAAGCCGCTGTTCCCATTTCCTCGCTGACCCATCATGCAAAAGAGTGAGTGCACTTTACATAAAGTAAAGGCTCTAAGCATTGCTCCTTCGACTGATTGTTCGCATCGGATTTCAGGTTCTCTATTGCACTCCCTAAATAGGGTTCTTTTCACCTTTCCCTCATGGTACTAGTACGCTATCGGTCATTGAGTTTCCATCTTGCTGAACCGTGGGAATAGTATGAAGTGAAACATTTATGAATATTGAGACAAGTTAGTCATCATCAATCACTCCATAAATCAGATCGCTGATTTAAGAGTGACGAAGTTAGTTTAAAAAAATGCTTATCTCTGAAAAGTACAAAAGAAACCAATATGCAACTAGTGACATGTCAAACTTGATCCTTGCATAGATAAAACTTCAAGTCCAACTCTTTAAAGTACACTGTAATAGTCAATTTAGTGCCTCAGAAGGTATTATGCATTCTCAAAAAGGCAATGGTTCGCCACATGGTTTGTGATAGCATATATTATCCTCTTTAAAACATGTGGTGCAGCTTCCATTTTTTGTATATGGTGTTGAATTATAGGATCTTCTTTTAGGCTCATTTTCATAATAATTTAGCCAAAAATAAGACCTGTTGTAACTGATATTTTGTTAAATGAAGTTGTACATGTTTTCAACATGCAGTGGAAGTTATTGAGACATGTTAAGGGCTCAAAGTTTGGAGATACACTTACTTTTGTAATTAACTATCTTGTGTGATTGCGTGTTAAATGTTTTAAGTGCAGCAGCTGCTTTGAATTTCCTCTATTGATTCATATTTGTAATGTGGTTGCTTTTATTTAGATGGTAGATGCAAGTCCTGACGCCATAGTGGATATAACCAGTCTGACTGAAGCAACCACAGGTGAGAAACGAAAAAGAGAAGGAAGATTAAGATCTATAGTTTGGCAACACTTCACAAAGCTCATAAAGGAGGATGGAACTTGTGAAAAATGCAAGTGTAATCATTGCCATAAACTTTTTACTTCTTCAACCCGAAGTGGAACTACTCATTTGCTTCGTCATATAAGTGAAGGAATATGTCCTGTATTTAAGAAAGTCAAAAAGGAAAACTCGCCTGCAATTTTCAGCTATATGAGCGGTAGCATAGACCGAAAAGTTGGTATTAACCCTTGGAAGTTTGATCAAGAACTGGGTCAAGCATCCATGGAACAGTCAATTGATGCGCATGATGATTTGTTGTCGGTGGAATTAGATGATATTGAACGTCAAACATGCACTACATCAGAAGGTGACTATGGTCGCCAAACAATGCCCGTATCTTATAAACTTCCTCAGCAGCCTGCCGTGAAGTCTCAGCCTATTGCAGCATCATGGATGAGTGAGTTGAGGACTTGTGTAGGTAAACTCGTTGAACTCACAAATGAACGAGTGTCAAAGCCTAGCGTGGATAAGACTTGTGTGACTGTTAGTACTCCCGATTTATCTATATCTTCTGTTGTGAAGTGCTTGAATGAGATGGAGGATATCCCACAATCAAGTGCAATGTATTTAGATGCTTTGGATATCGTAAGGGATCCAGAAGAAAGAGAGTGTTTTATTTGTTTAAACCCAGAGCCGCGTAGGAGATGGCTGCAAAGGATGTTACATCGTCGTTTTCCCTTGCGCTATAGCACCGATGTTTGAACAGCTGTTTTTATTGGGAAAAACTGGAAAGATACTTGACCATGTTTGTTATCAAAGCTTTGGTTATTGACATATATTGTCATGATCTACTGTACTGTACAATTTCTGTTGTTTCAAATGAGAATACATACTAGAAAATTTCTGTTGTTTCAGATGAGAATACTTACTAGAAAATTTCTGTTGTTTCAAATGAGAATACATACTAGAAAAACCGAAAGTATTTGGAAGCTTATTGATTGTGCTATCTGTATATCAAGAATTGAAACATTGGATTTGGTACTTAGAATTTTTGGATGTCCGAAAATTCGAAATTCTTATACTTTATATTTAGTCCATTATCCATATGTCAATAGTAATAAGTTAAATATTTTATCCATTATATATTATCTCATATATTCAATATTAATTACTAAGTTACTGTGAGAATGCTTTCTATTTGGACATGGTTATCCTATTTCTACTTCTTATCGGTCGTATTAATGTCTCTATTGTATTTTGTTGATAATAATTTCATTACTTGAATACTTTATTTGGATGATTGCAGTGAGAACGAGGAATTTTTCACGTAATTTAACATGACTACTTCATTTGGATATTCATTTTTGTAAAAAGAAGAAACATCTCAACTTATAAGCTCAAAATCGAAAATCCAAAATATTCAAATCGATTAATTTGAAATCGAACTTAAAAAATCCGATTCAATCTGAACTTATTTGGATTGGATTTGGATTGCCATTTCTTCGAACCGTAATTTTCATATGCAATCCGAACTGCGTGGACGCTCACCCCTAATCTTGATTCCACATGCGGATATCAAATGCCAAATGGTAAACAAAAAAATGTGCAAATAGAAGTATCATTGTAAAAGAAAGGGAGTGCTAATTTTTAATACTTCCACTCTTTTGCCATTTTGCTTTCTTTGTGTTGTCCTTTGATTCTTTATTCTATTTTGTAGGATGATAAGCTTATCACGTTATAGTACGATAAAATGCTGATAATTTAATTTCAAGAAGAAATAATATTGCTAAGCATTGTATAATGTTCAATTATACGCGTGTTTACATTTACAAATAATTACATCAAATTTAGCTTATTAGCCCCAAAAAATAAGTAACGTCGTTGACTCAAACAAGTACCCCGTTCGTTTTAATTTATACTTCCTCCGTTCACTTTTATACTAAAAATATATTTTTATTTTTACTTGTCCATTTTAACTTATCAAGAGAAAGACAATATTTTTTCTTGTTTTACCCTTACCATTAACTACTTATTCCTCACATCATTTCCCAAGATTTTTTGAAATGTTATCATTATTATGGGTAAGACCGTAATTACTCTATTTATTTTTCTTAAAGGGAGTACAAAAATCAAAAGTGAACAGAGGGAGTATTACATGATAGTAGTTTGTGTTAGGACCGAAAAAATCAGGTGTCATGCGAAAGCTAGCAAAGCAAACCTTGAACAACATAAATCACACAACAAAAGAGAAATCTACCAAAAGAGACACAAACATTTAACGTGGTTCGGTCAACTGACCTACGTCCACAACGGAGATGAACAATCCACTATAATAAAAAGAGAGTACAAAATATCGAGAGAACAACCTCACGAAGAGGCAAACACAATTGACACACTAACACTTGTCCCGTAAAGTTCCTCCCTTAAACAAGACTCTCAAGCCCCCTATGGCTACATTGGGATGCTACTGAATGTGGAGGAAGGATCCTCAATTTATAAAAGTCCAAACCTTTTCCTACAAGAAAAGGACTAGCCAAATATTGGCTTAAAAAAACAAATGAAGAAGACTTTTAAAACAGCAGCAGCTCGACGGACGTGGGGCCTAAAGCCAAAATATATTAAGAGGCCCTTAAACTTCTTTCACAAAGAGACACAAAAGAAGTCTACGTAACTTTGATTTAGTGGTGAGAGCGTAGCACGTGATATGTGATTTAAGCGCACACTACGATGTCGAACTCTCCCCTACACAAAAATATTATATCTAAATGAAAAAGGATGGAAGGGTAAGCCTATTATACATCGGGATAGACGTTACGATCCTTGGATTCTTAGTTAAAAAAGACGGGGACACGAATAATTAAACCTTTTTTTTATTATGTATGAAACAATCAAATCTGACAAAAGTTATTAGTTAGGAGTAACTAATGAGCAGAACATATGTTCATTTGTTTTTTTTTTTTCTCTCTCGGTGTTCGGTATTCGCATTGGAGTCCAATTATATTTGGATTCGCGCCGCATAAGGTCCCATTCGAGGGAAAAACGCTCACTATTAAGAATTTTTTCATACTCAAGGATCGAATCCGAAACCTTTAATTAAAGAAAGAGCAGCCCATTTGCTACACCAGAGTTTGACTTTGTTCCCATAATGCTACGTCTCTTTTTTCAAAAAGCTTTTAATGTTTTATAATGCCGTACGAAGTACTTCGAAATATTTTCTTTTATTGTTCTTCATTTCAATTTTAATTACTGCTTCCACGTCATTAATCTTTTATTTATATTTCGTTAATCAATTGTCAATTCCGATCAAAACATTAAGGAATATTAGACGTGGACTGATGAACTTTTTAGACATAATACTTACACTTAAAAAACTATATACAAGACAAATACTGGAAATTACAGTCAAATATTATTTTCTTAAATTCATAAAGTCACAATCTCTTTAGAATACAAGGTGTTTTTTTTTCTTCTTTTTTTTCTTGAACTTCTTTTGCATTAAAACTAGTATAAGAAATTCTTAAACAAGTGATCAGTAGATGGATTTGTTTATTTTTTTTAGATGGCTAATCTTAACTAGGTTTGAACGTGTATTTGGTTGGAGTTTTTTTTTTTTTAATTATTATTTATTTTGGAGGAGAGTTGACTCACTTGTTTTTTTTGAAGAAAAATGCAGTTAACTTATTGACCATAATCGCTCTTTCCCTTTTCTTTCGTTTTTTAAGAATTAACCTAAATAGTTGTCAACCCAACTTAAACTAAAAATAGCAGGCAGATGTATAATATAACTATAATTCATATACAATATATGTATATTCTATATAATCAGTACATAATTTATATATATCGGATAGACAAAATAAATAATGAGTCTGTCCGGTTATTTGCGTTTTTTTAATTTTTTTTTATTTTAAGCTTTGTGATCCACTGTTCCTCCACTAAGGAAGACTTGTCATTGTAATAATATTTCTTGAAAATTCATGTGAATTCTTTTTTTGGTCAACAAACGATATTATATTGATTTAAATTGTGTTATTACAAGGAGCTCATTGCAATATATTACAAAAACTGTAATCAAAAAGTTGATCGTTGGAGTGATCACATTCCAAAAAGGTGGGACTGTAGGACAAGTTTGTTGTGCATATAGTCTTTACCAATCTTGGGTAGACAATGCCTTGCTGATCAGCCAAAAGGTGTGCTAGCAAAAAGGTTGGTGCATGGGTGAAGATTGTTGTATAGTCACCGGCATTGGCAGATGAACCATTTTGAGCGAGAGTATGTGCAACGTAGTTTTGCTCCCTGTATGTGTGGATAATCGAAGAATTACCCAGCTGCCAGATTAAGTATCTGCATTCCATTAAAGTGGATGAGTAGTGCAAATTTTCGTTGTTAAGCATTGATATTACCTCAGTAGAATCCACGTTGACTTCCAGTGGAATGAGTTGATGAAGCCATGCTAGTTGCAAACCCCGTAATAATGCATTTAATTCCATATATGTAGAGTTACCTGTAGATCGTTTACCCATGAAGCCTAGTAAACACTGTCCCATTGTATTGCAGAATACTCCTCTTACACCATTATTAGATGTATTGATTTTGGCTGCTCCATCAGTATTTAGTTTAATTTTACTTAAAGGTGGTGGATGCCATTTGACATACATGTGTGTGCGTGATTGTGGTTGTGCATTTTGTTGAATAATGTAATGATATTCAACTGCTTGTGTTATCAAATGTTGTGTTGAAGGAGGTGGGTGTGAGTTCCTATTAAAAAGGTAGTGATTCCTTAGCTTCCAAATATACCATACTATGTGTGGTATAAGAATGCGTGATGGCAAGTTGAAAGGGAGGCTGTTAGTGTTATTGGTTAAAAGGTGTATGATGTGGATGGGTGCTAGGAGTTGTATGTCACAAGTATGTAAAGCAGTGTCAATTCTCAATCGAGACCAAATATTGGTCGTTATAGGGCACTGAAATAGTAGGTGATTAATTGTTTCCGCGGTGTGAAGACAAAGATTGCACGTATTGGATTGTGTGACATTTATATGGTGTAGGTAAGAAGCTGTGGCTAATTTTTGGTGTGAGACTAGCCAAAGAAAATGTATTATTTTTGGAGGTAATTTTAATTTCCAAAGCCAATCATGTTCATAGGTTGATTTTGGTTCTTGTAGCATATGATATAGTGATTTAACAGTGAATTGGCCATTTGGAGTGAGCCCCCAAATGATCTGATCAAAAGCGTGGGGTTAGTTAAAGTGGGGATATGGATTTGATTAATCAATGAAAGGATGTGTTCCGAAAATACAAAGGATAATGAGTTTGTTTCAATTTTTGTGTTGATGATGTGGTGACTGAGTGTGTTATGCAATTCAATAGAGTTTAGTGGTCCCTGTATAGAATTTCGAAGGGTAATATTAGGTCCAAGCCATGGCTCATTCCAAATGTTGATATGCGTTCCCCTTGCAATATTCCATACTAAGCCTAGTTGGCAAAGTTTTTATCCTAATTGTATATTTTTCCATGAAAGGGATGTGGTAGATACTTTGGTACTGTTTTTATACTTATTCAATAGTAGAGATGCCCATAGTGTGTTTGGGTTTTTAAACAGACGTCAAGCTAGGTTACCTAGTAAGGCATTATCTTTACTAGTTAGATTTTGAATACCTAATCCACCTTGGTGCTTAGGTCTTTGAACTACTGACCAATTAATCAGGTGAATTTTCTTTTTGTGTTCAGTAGTATCCCATAGAAAGTTTCTTTGATATCGATTCATTCTTAGGATAACTTGTGAAGGAATCTTAATGTATTGCATTACGTGGTTTGGTAGTGAGTTCAAGGTAGATTTTATTAAGGTAGTACATCCCGCCATTGAAAGCATATTAGTTTTTCATCCTGACAACTTAGCTTTTAAGTTGTCTAGGATGTATTGAAAATTACGGGATGTTGGTTTATTAACAAACAATGGGAATCCTAGGTATTTACCAAACAGGATACCCTCCCTCTTGTTAAATGATGTAAGGACAAAGGATTTGTCGGCTAGTGTGGTATTTGTGGAGAAATAAATTTTGGATT